TTAGGGCTGTTGTACATAGGGTCGCTATGAGTCGCAAACCACTCGACGGCACATAACAACAATAACAACAACATTCATTCTGTACTATAGAAAGCAGACCAGAGTTGAGTTTAAATGACTGGGGTGGTTTAACTCTTTCCCATGCTTTGAGCATAGGCTTGTGATCTTTCTCTTATTGCGATCAAGTTGGAACCAACTCATACCTGACTCTCCAGTAGGTTTCTGAGGTTGTAAACTGCACAGGAGGAGACTGCCCATCTTTCTCCTGCAGAGTTGCTGGTGGATTCAAATCAGAGTGGTATGGATTTTTGGTTAGCAGCTCAACTCCATACAAACTACACTATCAGAGCTCCCTCGTACTAGTCCTTGGAAAAAGACAACATCCTTGTGAATAGGAAGGAAGATCCTCAATGAGATGGATTGACATAGTGACTACAACAGCAGACTGAGCATGGCAAATTGTTAAGAATGGCATGGAATAGGGCAAGGTTTCAATGTGTTGTTTATAGGGTCGCTGTGAACTGCATTGAGTCACAGGGAGCTCTTGGTGACCTAGTGGTAAGAAGCTGCACTACAGTCCTTGAGGGAAGCCGAATATCAAATTTACTAATAGTAGACCAAATACTGTATCAGGAAATGAAGGATGTTTAATACAAGGTGAAGGTCACCTTGTGGTACTAAGGTGTTCCCTAAGAGTCAACATTGTTCTTAGTTTGTATCAACTGAATCCCTCCCTCTTGAGATTAGCATAAAGAGGAACTTGGCTTCACCATTATCATTTGTTTTTGTTTTGTACTTCCTTATGATTTTACTTTGTTTACCTTCCTTTGATTCTAAATAAACACTCAGAGAATCATGGCTTGGGGCCTTCAGTCATGGGAACTGTTGGCCCCCTTTTTCTCACACTCTGTTCTATTTCATTCCTGGTAGTCTGTCTCATTACTAATGATTATAAAATTATTTCATTCTTTGGGACCCTCGGTCTGCAACAAGTCCTGAAGGCACATGGTTCAAATCCACCGGCTGCTCCCAGGGAGGATGATTAACCGCCTCTGAAAACCCATTAAAGGGTAGACTATGGGTCTGTTCAAACTTCATAACATACAACAATGCATCACAACAGACTAGGGGGCATCTAACATGATGTGGGTGACTAGTCAATGCATCTTATATAGTTAGACACACTGGTCTGACCTTAGAGGACTGTTTGTAGCTGAAAAAGTCTATTAATCCCTTCTGAAAATAGACCATTTAAAACTTTGCGGATCGCAATAGATGGATTCCAATGTTGGTGGATTCCCCAGGGGGAGACTGGAGGGTAGTCTCCAAAAGACAAGCTCATATTTACATTCTTGACTCCCCTCTATATTTCAATAGAAACTGAGAAGCCAAGGGCTTTGTTTCTTTCCTTTCACAGTAGTCCAATCTCGGAAACGCACTAGACTTGGAGTGAAAACATACTTGACTATGGCAAATAAATACAAATTATGAATATCCTGGAACAAGACAACAAATGCAAATTGGGATCAGCTCACTGAAGCAAATTGCAGAAATCACTGCTTCCCTTCAAATAAACCACTTAGAACTCAAAGCTGTAGAGTTGGAAAGGACTCCTAGCTGACTCTCCAGCGGCTTTTCTGAGTCTGTAAACTGCACAGAAGATTGCTAATCTTTTTTTCTACCATAAAGCTGCGGGTGGATTTGAACCTCCTGCCTTTGGATTGGCAGTGCAACTCATTCCTATGAGCTACCAGAGTTCCCTAGTTTGCTTCAGATTTATTTTCTTAAAATTAAAAGTCAGTCATCATCCTTTCACTTTTGGCCATAGTGTGTCAATGCTTCACTTTGACCACTTTGCCTTGTCCCGTCTTTGCAACAAGGAAACACATGCGACTTCAGCCTCTAAGTCGTATCTGCCCACAGGTGACATTCAGTTCTACATGGGAAAGGGACCAATTTTCGTTAAACTCTACAGTACCAGTAACTTAAAATGAAAAGAGAAAAATCTCTTCAAACGCTACATCTTCAATCCAACCAAAGGTTAATCACGCGCGGTAAAGGGATGCCGTCCACCAGGCGCAGAGGTTGATGGGAAGCAAAGTTGGCGTCAAAAGCCCTGATTCAAGATGGCAGGTTATGAAGAGAGGGCCATTGGGAAAAGCTGAGATGAGATACAAAGCAATTTTAACATGAAGAAAGTAGTTATGGAAAATGGAATATATGCTAACAACGAGAGTGTAGTGCCTAGCCCTCCATCTTCCAAATACTAGGGAAAGTTTATTGGCCAGCCAGGTGAGAACTTCCAAAGGCGACGTTACCCTAACTAAAAATGGCGCCCGTAAGTACTACACTGAGCGCCAAAAAGGAGGCGAGTACCCTGATCCAAGATGGCAGCGGCGACTGTGACGAACCGAGGGGCGGGGAGTGCCAGTAGCGTCCTTGCCCTCAACCAAGATGGCAACCTTCGTGGGCGCTGTCCCTAGCCCCGCCCCTCTGCCTCGGCCCCGCCCCTACCTCGTCTTTCCCTCCGCCTACACCATATATCCAGTCAGGTCCGAGGTGCCCGCCGGAGAGAGCGGGCTACCGGCACTTGACATGGCGGCATCGGCGGCTACTGCAGCGACTAAGGGGAATGGAGGTGGCAGTGGCCGGTCTGGGGCCGGCGACGCGAGCGGCACGCGGAAGAAGAGGGGCCCGGGGCCTCTGGCCACCGCGTATCTGGTTATCTACAATGTGGTCATGACGGCAGGGTGAGGCTGAGGCTCAGGGACTGGGGAGGCGGGAGCGAGCCCGACCCGGGAGGGGACTCTGCGTGCGACCGGTAGAGCCAGGTGCCCTCGCCGTGAGGGCGGCCCCAGAGGCCCGATCGAGGACCGGGAACCTGGGCGGCGAGGGTGGCTGGCTGCTGTATCGGCCCTGGTCACTACCCTGGAGCTCCGCCCGAGGTGGGGGGCTGAGCCGAGTTCGCGATCGCTGGGTCTGCGCTGGGCTGCAGTGGGGTCTGGAGGAGAGAGATGCGGGCTGCGAGGAGGCGCGGGAAAGGCAATCGCGGCCCCGGCTCGGAGGGCCTGGTGAGCCCGTGGGCTGGACACCACAGGTCCAGGTCCGGAGGACGGTGTGCGCGCAGAGGCGAGAGTCCAGGCGGCCAGTCACGAATGGTGAACTGCTCCCCTCCTGGGGAGTGGAGGAAGCTGTGGCTGCAGAGTGACCCTTTATTTCGGCGGCCGTTTTCAAAACCCTGCCTGAGTTTGCATCCAAAAAAAAAAAAAAAATGATAGGAAAGTGTTGAAAGTTTTTGACCCGTGGCATGAAAAAGCTGTGTGTGCTCAAGTGAGTTTAGACTTCTTTGGTTAATTTATGGTGAGGAGCAAACACACTGAAGAGACAAAGCAGAGTTATTAACTGGGAGTTGGTGAGATAGACCCTTGAAATATTTTGCTTCTTTTGCTTTTTTCCTAATTTCATTCCACTCTTTAACTAGAACTAATATTAGTTCTGCTTGTGAGGCTAACTAGCTGTGTGACCTTGGATGAATCATTTTCGTTCCTAGGCCTCCATTCTGCATCTGTGAAGAATTAGGCTCAGTGACCTCCAAGGACCCTCCAGCTTGGCAATTCATTGATCTTGTGGTTTTGCTGTGGAAAATCACAGGGTCACTCTTTTCATGATCTATTGTGAAATTGCATTTCTTTTTTAAAACTATTTTTCTCCAATATTTTATTATTAAAAATTATTAGAAAAGTTCTTAAACTTTTATCTTTTTAATTTTTAAAATACTTTTTTTTTAAAAAAAAATAACCCTCATTGTTGAATCCGAACTGACTTGATTGCAGAGACTTGACCTTTGGGTTAGCAGGATAATTCCCTACAAAGTAGGCCACCAAGCTCAAAATGTAAAAGGTGTGCCAAGGCACACAGTGAAAATATCACCTCTCACTTTTCCCTTGCACCCATATCGCCCCCTTGGATGCAGCTAATTTTGTGTTTCCTTCAACTACTGACTAGGAGCCTTGGTTAAAGTCATCAGTTGGTAACCAAAAGGTCAGTGATTGAACTCCACAGCTGCTCATTGGGATAACGATGTTCTATAAAGGAAAAAAAATGTTCTATAAAGATTATATAGTCTTGGAAACTGTGGTGCAATTCTTGCCTAATCTAGGAGGTCGCTTAGCCAGAATCACTTAAAGACAACTGGCTCAGTTTTGGTTCTTCAGGTGCTGACACAAGCAAATAGCATACATGTTCCCCTTGCCGCTTTTTTGCACATTTGGTAATGTGCAAAATGAAATTAAAATTCACCTTGCATTTTCACACACACACACACACACACACACACACACACACAATGCACACGCACACGCACACACACACAATGCACACACACACACACGCACACATACACACACATGCACACACACACATGCACACACATACACACACACTCACACTCACACTCCTTATATCATGAGAAAATTATAACTTATAGTTTTAGGAACAGCAGTGTTGAAACCAAGGCTCAGAGTTTTAACTTACTTGAACTTGTTAGTAGCAGATCAGGGTATAGAACCTGTTTCTCTTGATCAGTGAGTAACTATTACAGATACAGGTGTTCTTTATCACATAAATGATTGCATAGATGGTTACAGACCATTTTTAGAAGAACATTCAAGAATCTGGGTGTATTTATATGTAACATTCATATTGTCTTATCCAGGCCATTGATGGACTAGAGATAGATTTTAAGGTTCCTTGGAGAAAAAGGAAAAATGACTTGGTCAGGGCACACGTGGCTAAGGGTAGCTAGCAATCTTTCTAATTCATAGAGCAAGGAACCTAGAGAATGTAGTGGAGGTTAAGGATTATTTTAAATCAATCATTCATAGTCAAGTCAGACCGACTCATAGTTGACCTCTCAGCGGATTTTCAGAGGCAAAAAAATCACCGATGTTTCTCAGCTGGTAGATTTGAATGCTTGCCTTTGGGTTAATGGACTAGGCCACAGAGCCCCCTGATTTATCTTAAATCAAGAAGAGAAACAGATTAGGAGAGTTAAACTGCCCTTTTCTGTGCTGATACTGACATCTCTGGAGTCCTGAGGTGTTGCAAATGATTATCATACTGGGCTATTGACCAAAAGATTAGGAGTTCAAGTCCATGCACATGTACCTCAGTAGGGCCTGACATTCTATTTTAAAAAAACCAGCCATTGAAAACCCTGTGGGACTTAGTTTTACTCTGATGCATGTGAGATTGCCATGAAACAACTTGAAGGCAACTGACTTTAAGAGATAAAGAATCCATTTGTTTTTAATTTTTTTTAAAATTGTGTGTGTGTGTGTGTGTGTGTGTGTGTGTGTACCATCAAATCTGATCTGACTGGTACAGGAGGAGATTGTCCATCCTCCAGCGGAAAATCTAGTGGATTTGGACCATGTACCTCTGGTATTGCAGTGCAGCTTCTTGCCACTAGGCCACCAGAACTTCATTTCTTCTTTTACAAATGCTTTTATGAGGTTCTCTTACATGAATGAAATTTTCTAAAAATAATATGGACCACCTATCCTATTTCCTGATCAAGATAATGCAGTTGGCTAAATCCATTATTCAAAGAGACATACATTAAAAATTAAGGCCCACACACTTTACTACAGCACGTAATAGATAAAACAAAATCATAGGGCCCAAGAAATCTATTTCTGAGAAGGACAGCAGAGCAGTAATATAACATTCACAGTTGCATGCCTGTGTGCTTTGTTTTGGTTTTTATATCATGTAACTAACTCTAGCTTTTGTTTCTCGGTTTGGGCAATTCCACTAAAAGGACTTTTCTTCTTTATTTTGTTTAAAGTTTTAAAAAGCACATTTTAAGAGATGTTGGGTTATGTTCCAGCAAGATACTTTAAACATTAAATGCTTTAAAGCGTTTTTTTTTTTAAATCATCTCATTTACTAAAGACTAACTGCAGCATGTTCTTGTTGCTGTTATGTGCCGTCTAGTTGAAACCAGGTGGATTGACATGGTGACAGCTGCAAAAAGGCTCTTCTGTGTTGGGAACTGAGGATGACACAGGATAGGACAGAGTTCAGACATAGAGTCGCTGTGAGTTGTACTCGACTCCAACAGCACCTAACAACAGTTGAAACCACTGACTCACAGCTGACCCTCAAGCAGATTTTCAGAGGCTGCAAATCTCTGAAGATTTCTCCTTTTAATCCCTCACAGCAGCTGGTGGCTTCGAACTGCCTGCCTTTGGGTTGATAGCGCAACTCCTTGCTCACTAGGTCACCAGAGGCTACTTAAAATTTCCTTTAACAGCTTTTTTCCCTTTTGTCTTAGACTTTCTGGCATCGTTTTAGCTTATTGCCTTCAGTTTGGCCTTGTTTAACGGGCTAAATTGCCAAAGAGCTGAGTTCCAGCTGGGTGAAGTGTCTCTGCTCATGAGGTGCACATTTGGCCGGGTGCTGGTGATGGCACGATATTTCTGTGCATTAAAGCCTGACTCTGGAGAACTGTGGTCGGTTATCTAAGATAGCAATCCTGTAGGTCATTTTTAGCAATATGGATTGCTACATGTTTCTGGTCCCATAATTCCTTCCTACCTACATTTTTTTGGTTTGTTTGTTTTTATTTCTTTCTTTGATTACATTTTCTTTTCTTTTTCTCCCCCAGGTGGCTTGTTATAGCAGTTGGACTGGTCAGAGCATACCTGGCTAAAGGCAGCTATCATAGCCTTTATTATTCAATTGAAAAGCCTTTGAAATTCTTCCAAACCGGAGCCTTATTGGAGGTAGGTCCTGAAATGTATTGTTATTGAACCTGATTTTTTAGAAAATAATATACTAGTGAATTATACCAAAGGAACTGTACCCCTTGGATTTGTGTTTCAGTTTTGCTTCATAGAATATTAACTTGTTGTTATTGTCAAGCACAACTCATAACAGCCCTATAAACAAAAGACCTGCAGCCTTTTAATAACTATCATTTCTCAAAGTTCATAGTTTCCAGGGGCATGTTGTTTAAAGTGGATGCCACCCCTGCTTCCAAACCTGTCATAGTATGCTATTGTTGTTATGTGCCATTGAGTCGCCTGTGATGAATAGTGAACCCATGTACAGCAGCTCTGAATCTGTCCCTGTCCTGAGCCATTCTCACTAATTCTGACACTACCATTGCCCCAGTTAGTGTATCAATCCATCTCATCTGGGATCTTCCTCTCCTGCACTTCTCCACCCTTCTGAGCTAGACTAAAATAACTAGACTAATTTTTCTTTTTTAAAATTTTAACATTTTGTTCTGTTTTTTTATTATGTAAATAAAAATTTACAGAGATTTTGGATTTCCATTCATTCATGGCTGCACTTTTCTACCTGCCCACCCCTCCCCTCCAGTTAGCTCCTCTCTTTGAAGAGTTCCTTCATTGGTATACAATTCCCACATGCCCCCGACCCCCTGCACTTCTCTATGCAACCTTAATTCCTGTGCTAACCATAATACTCAGTCATATATTGCCTTTAATCTGTTCTTTCCCTCATCTGTTTCAATATAATATACATAATTTATCCAACTTTCTCTCAGTCTTACCCCCACCCTGATGTCAGACCCATTCTACAACAGTGGCACCATGCAGTATTTGTCCTTTTGTGACTGAGATTTCACTCAGCAAAATGTCCTCCAGGGTCACCCATTTTGAATAATATTGCTTAAGTTCCTTGTTTTTCACTGCGGCGTAGTATTCCATTGGGTGAATATACCACAGCTTCTCTATCCATTCGTTTGTTGATGGGCACTTACTGCTTCCAGCTCTTTGCTATTGTAAACAAAGCCTCGATAAACATGGGTGTGCATGTATCTCCTTGGATGGCAGACATGGTCTCTCTGGGGTATATTCCCAGTAATGGGATTGCTGGGTCAAATGGTATCTATTTGCAACTTTTTTGAGAAAGCGCCACACCACTTTCCACAATGGTTGCACCATTTTACATTCCTACCAACCGTGAATAAGGGTTCCAGTTTCTCCACAACCTCGCCAGCATTTGTTACTTGCTGTTCTGTTAAATTTTGCTATTCTTACTGGGGTGAGGTGATATCTCATAGTTGTTTTGTTTTTTAAATTTTCTTTTTTATTTTTTTTTTGTGTGTATACTGTCAAATGGGATCTGACTGGTACAGGAGGAGATTATCCCTCCTCCAGCAGAGCATCTGGTGGATTCAAGCCACTAGAATAATTTTTCGGCATTCAATTTAAGATAAAATCTCACTTTTTTTAAACTAATGCTAAGGGCTTGATAGGGTTGCATTAGTAAACTCTGATACCTTCAGAGGCCAGGTGTTTTTGTGGGTGTTAAGTTGTGAGGAGCAAAGAAAAGCTGGCATCTGGCTGAAGGCATTAAAATGAAAAACTATATTTTTTCAAAAAACTATTTCTCTGTATTAAGGGTAATGCAGATCTACTCCTGTCTTCTGAGGTAAATATATGTTAGGAATTGTATGTGGCAGAACTATTTTAAGCAAAAGAAACCTTTACTAGTTTCTACAGTTATTCTGGTGGCATATCTATCTACAGAAGCTCTGACAGCCTAATGGTAAGAATCTGTGCTGCGATCTGAAAGGCACTGAGTTCGAATCTACCAGATGTTCCGTGAAAAAGGATGGGCAGTCTCCTCCAGTGCAATTTACTGCCCTGAAAACCCACTGGAGGGTCTGCTGTGGGTCAGTTCCAACTGAACAGCACACGCGCATGCGCGCGCGCGCGCGCGCGCGCGCGCACGCACACACACACACACACACACACACACACACACACAATAGTTGACTCAGGTAGTTTATGGAATTAAAGGAATCAGTTCAACATCAAGAACCTAGAGTTCTACACTACTGGTCTTTCCATATTTTATCTCTTTCTCTGTGAACATTGACCTTAGGCTCTCCATCAGATAGCCTTCAGGTAGTAAATGCCGAGAGTATTTCTTCTCAGCATTCTTGCCACAGTTCTAGGGAAGGAGTCTAGTTAACCTTATTTCTTGTTAGTGATGTGAGATACTTGATTAGGCAGGTATGGGATGTATACTCATCCTCCTGGCCAAGAAACAAAAGAATTTGTTAATGGAGAAGGGGGTGTGGGGATAGCTTTTGGCATACAGGAGTCCTGGATGGTGCAAATAGTTAATAAGCTTAACGGCTAACCAAAAAATTGTAGATGGGAGTCCACAGGGCGGTACCTTAGAAGACTTGGCAGCCTAATTCCAAAATATCAGCCATTTCGATGTATAGAACACAGCTCCACTCCAGCACACACGGAATCAGAGTGGCCGGAATCAGAGTGGCCGTGAATCACAGCTGCATGATAACTGACGTTGGGCGCACAAATGCAGAAACCACCATAATTCATTATAGTGAAAACCTCTTCAGCTTGAGGGAAAGCTCTGATCTTGAATACATCTCACTTAGATAAACTCACATATTTTAGGCAGATAATAAGGAGCTCTGACTGCATAGTCTGAAAGCCTTTGAGCTGATGGTTCAAATCCACTGGCAGCTCTGTGCCATTTACAGCCTTGGAAACTCAATGGAAGATCAGTGATGAATTGATTGTGTCTTAACAGCAACAAATGTAAGGCGGGATAGATGATAAATATGAAATAAGCTTTCATTTGAAGTTCCTTAGTCTTAAGTAGGATGATCTTACCAACCTACCCTGTGATTTGGGGCAAGTAATTTACTTTGTCTCATTTTCTCAATTATAATTGAGGTTAATTTGGTTTCTAAGATATCTTCCTGTTCCAACGTTTTGGGTCTGAGAAACTAACAAATCCTAATGTGAGCCTGTTGGGGTTTTTCCTTTAAGGCTTAAAAAAAAGAGGCAGCAATGAATACGTAGCTCATTGTTTCTGCGAGTTCTTACCCAAAAGAATTCTATCAAGAGACAGGGAAGCAAAGTTGAGGTCAGCGCTTCCATGAATACCCTGTTGCTTAATGACACAGGGAATTGCAACTGTCAAGCAAAAAATTGGAATTGTTAAAAAAAATCCAGATTTTGATAGGGAGAACCATTATTCAGAAGGAAAGGGGCAGGGCAGTAATGGAGGAGGACTAGAGCAATAAAAAGAACCCTCAGAGCATCATAAAGTGGAAAAAAGCATTTCTCTTACAGAAACTCAGAGTAAACAAGACTAGAAAGTGTGGGGAATGTGGATAAGCAGGTGTTATCACTGGATCTGTGGTCAGCCTGTTTTCAGGGAGGGGTCCTTGAAGGGTAGGGCAGTACCTTGACCTACACAGGGGGGATGTCCAGAGACTTAGCAAAAGGAGAGCTTAACCAGAGTTGGATTAACAGGCACTTTATTTCTAGTTGATAAGAGGGACCAAGCTGTTCAGTTATTTATGAGGCAAGGAATGGAAATCTGGAGGTCTGCCTCTGGCTTTCTCATAGGTAAAGAAAGCTGTGTCTTATTTAAATCATACGGAAGTGTTGGTTAACTTACAGTAAGCTAGTTTCCTGAACACAACAGATGAGTTCTTTAACCATCACTGCTTTCTAATATCATGGAGTTTAGGTAAAATGCAACATTAACTGAATGTTTCACTAATTAAAAGGGAATTCTTCTGTTTCTGTAAGACTTGTATTAGCTGTACATTTTTTAAAAAATACAATTTTAAAACATACCAGGGAAGGTGGTGACATTTAATAGGGTGGCACAAAATTCATTCAAGAACCAAATCTTGGACTTTGAAGGATTAGCCCATTTATCCCAATAGAATTTTTATTAGGGATTTAAGGAAATATTTTGGATTTGGGGATTTATCTCTTATCCCTAGTAAGAACCAATTATATGACAAATCCTGGATTTGATCTTAAGGACAAGTCTGCACAATGAACTGAAGACTCCCCAGGATACGCAGTTAATTAGTGCTGCAGAGGTCAGTGTGGTCAGTAGATCCCTCTACTCAGTGGTCAGAGCAAGCTTAGCAAATGACATCTATTGAACAGTGTAGTTAAATAATGTTTCATTGCCTACCCAACTTACATTATATAATAATAGCATGTATGAGGTATTGTTTACTTACAGATAACTCTTATGGGAATTCTCAGTGCTTGACAGCATATCCTGTTTATAGGAGAAGAAAATGAATCCAGGGAGTTCAGTTACTTGCTTGTCTCTGTAGCTGAAGTGTTTTTCTTCAGTAAGATCAGTGAGAGCTTTCTTGAAAAAGGAAAGTAATGTTGTGAGATGTCTAGTCGACAACTCCTTGCAACCCTGTGAACAACAGATCTGAACTCTGTCCTACCTGTGTCATCTTCATCATCTCTGACACACTTGAGCCCATTGCTGCAGTCACTGTATCAGTCCATCTTGTTGAAGGTCTCCTTGTCATTTTGTGGACCCACCACCTTTCCAGGGAATAGCTCTACCTGAAAACATACCCAAAGCATGAAAGACATATTTTGCCATCCTTGCCTTCAGCTTTCTGTATGGATTACATCTCAACATTAAGAAAACAAAAATCCCTACCATAGGCCAATAGGTAACATCATGATGATGGAGAAAAGATTACCATTGTCAATGATTTCATCTTACTTGAATCCACAGTCAACACCTTTAGTAGCAGTCAGGAGATCAGGAGACATATAACATTAGGAAAATCTGCTGTTGGGGAGCTTGCCAAAGTCCTGAAAAGCAGTGATGTCAGTTTAAAGACTAAGGTGCCTGCTTCAACCCATGGTCTTTGCAGTCATCTGTGCATCTGAGAACAGTAAATAAGGATGATGGAACAAGAATCAGTGTCTTT